CGAAATGACGAGTACAACCATGTCATGTTCCCGTGGACAATGATTCGATTCCCGTGAAAATCCCGCATAATCACTGCGCAATTTCAGGCAAAACAAGAAGAGTTAAGAGAGGAAAGAAAAGTGAGGGAAATTTCCACCTGCCATGTGTGCATGGTACCTGGCTGGCCTGAAAGAAACAGGCAGGCAGGCAGACATCCACGCCTGCCTCCGATCCACCCAAAAGTACACTCCAGTCCCAATATTCCGCGTCCTGGACTGACTTGTGCTCCGAGCTCTTCTTCTTTCTCCTCTGCCTTCTCGGCCTCTCCCAGCTCATCCCGTTCCCAGCACACTGCCCGCGCCCTGCCTCCTCTTCTCTCGATTCCCCCCCTTTAGCCATCTTTACAGGCACAAAATCATCCTAGCCTTTTCCTGCTACTCCTCTCCTTGTCCACATTCCGTGAGCGCGTTTTCCCCTCTTGAATCTCCGGCTCTCGAGACACAGATCCGCGACGGGTGGTGGATTCTTTACTTGCTCGTTCCAAAGTCCCACTCTGCGCCGCTGCTCCACTTACCTTGTAGGAGTAGCGGAGACACTTTACCCGATTCGTTTCTTCAGGTGGCATGGAACGGCGTGTGCTCCCACGGTGCCAAGGATTTCAGCTTTAGGTAGCATATATAGAAGTTGTAATCTTTGCCCTCCTTTTTGTCATCTCCTTCTGCTCTTACTGTCTTTTACAGTTTTACTACCATCTTGCAGAGCTACCTGGACATTGGGGGCGGAATGGAGGTCTGGAGCGTCAGAGCGGCGCAGCTCTTGCTCTTCTTCTTCCTCTTGTCTGAGAGGCATGGGTCTTGTGCCGCCCTCGGTGAAAAAGGTGAGATGGATTTCCCATGGGTTTGTGATTAGGAAGTGGTCATGATTGTGTTGGTTCAATTGGAACAGTGGTTGACCATCTGTGTCTATCTTGGTGCTCCAGGGCGAGTCATGAGTTTCAGAGAAGAGCACCCAAGTGGATGGTTATGGAATTTGGGACAAAAGAAGGTTTTCAGCGCAGCGGCGACACGGTAAGTCAGCCTGATCTGTTCTTGTTCTTGTAGGATCAAATTCATGGTGAAATGATTGCTACCCAATTTTATTTTTTTTGGTGAAGATGTCAAATCATTTGCAAGTACGTAGTTATCTTGTAGTATGTCATGATTAAGTTATCATTATCATTTACTTGTTAGTCATGATTAATAATAAGTTACTCAACGAACGAGTCCTATTTTGATTTCAAGGGGTACATGATATTGCCCGCCGTTGTCTTTTTTTATTTGTAGCGTCATGGATTTACAAGTCAAAGGGGTCTAGAAGAAGCCATGACTATTAGAGAATATGCAGGACAGCTAGATGTCTTTCTAGAGGAAGCTATGATTTTGTCTCTGGAATATTTAGGATACGTGTGTGAAACAAGGTTTTGACTTTTAAGCATTTCTTGAAGCGTCCCTTTTTTTTCAATGTCCAAAAAATTTACCTTCATGGATCAATTCCTTCAGGTCTAGGGAAAACAGTATTTCTGTGAGCAAATTGCATCTGGAGCATTACCGAGTTAAATTTCTGCGGTGCTTTATACATAATCTTTATTTATTTTTTTAATTATGGGCTTGATACATAATCTAAAGCCATGTGATGATCTTTGCAGCTTAATCAAGGGAAACAAACTATCAATTGAAATTCCTAACGAGTTACAAGAGTGTATCATGATTTCAGAGGTTCTAACTGATGGAAGGCAACAATCGTGCAGAAAATGTTTAACAAAGTCAGTCTTCTTCTTTATATACCAGCTTCCCTTTCGTAAGAATTTTCGAGTAAGACGGGCATAACTTCTAAAGTAAAATTGACATGACACAAGCAGTTGAAAACCAAAACTCTGTTTCAGTTTAACCAGCAATCTTGACTTTGACTAATTAAACCTTACAATCTTTTCCCCACAAAATAAAATAAAATAAATAGAATTCACACTCTTTGAATCTTTCGGTAAACTTTTACTATTAGATTTACCACTACATAATGTTTTGATCATGTTCATTTCCATAACGTTTAAGAAATGTATATTACTACAAAACAAACAAGAAAGATTTAGCATTGCAGATCGTGTGATTGATAAATAAAAACATGTAGTACCTTATGTCGAAAAACTAAAATACATGCTCATTTTCACTAAAAATAGGTTAAAGGCAAATGCCAAACATAAGTATACATGACAGCTGATGTACAAGGGATGTGTAACCTGTCTCTTACATTAGTAAAACTTAAGCATTAATATGTTAAAGCTTGAAATGGCTGTATGCATCGTGCTGATGCAGAGGCCGGGGATCCCCCCTTTTCGAAAAAAAAATGTTAAAGCTTGAAGCGTGGAGAATACTGATATGCTAACTGTGGACTATACAAGTTTGCCAATCATACTCTTCAATTTATATTGATGTTTTATGCAGAACCATACGGAGTACCACCCTGAGGCAACTCCTACAGGCAAGGGGGCTGCAAGAATCAGCACCTTCCTCTAAGGCTAATGATCAGCCTCATAAAAGCCAGTCTCCCATGTCTTCGCTGGCATCGCATTCGCAAGCTGAAACCAACGAGTCTTCTTCTGTGCTTCACTGGACTATCTACGCATTGTGCGTCAGTGGAGCGCTTGGCCTTGTGGTTATAGCGACTGTTGTGTATCTACTTGTCTCCCGTAGAAAGAAGGATAACACCGTTAATCCATGGGCTACCGGGCTGAGTGGACAGCTAAGGAAAGCCTTCGTGACAGGTCAGCCTCCTATTACCTGAAGCTAAAATGCCATATTACAACATCTGAAATGTGGGGCACAGATTGAACTTGGAGATGTTGAGTGTGCTTTACCTTGTGGGCAGGTGTTCCTTCTTTAGGAAGGGCCGAACTTGAGGCGGCGTGTGAGAATTTCAGCAATGTGATCGGTACTGTATCTGACAGTGCATTGTACAAGGGAACCCTGTCAAGTGGAGTTGAAATAGCTGTTGCCTCCAGTCCAATTAAGTCTGCCAAAGAATGGTCGGATCGGTCCGAGGAGCAATTTAGGAACAAGGTAACTGATTGGTGAAACTACAACCGTGCTCGATTTCAACTTGCAGTGTACTGAGTAGGATATAACTAGTAGGCGTGTCTGACCAACTCCTCTTTCAGATCTCTGTGTTATCCAAAGTGAACCATAAGAACTTCATGAACCTACTTGGTTACTGCACATGCGACGATCCATTCACCAGGATGATGGTGTTTGAGTACGCTCCATGCGGTTCGCTCTTCGAGCATTTGCACGGTGAGTGTCCTAGCTGCACATCAGTATCTGAACACCTTCCATATGCTGTTCTCGCTTCTGCCACTTCTCTCAGAAACAGTGACGCTCATCCGATCCATGTTTTTCAATGCAGTCAGGGAAGCAGAGCACCTGGACTGGCCTACCCGGCTGCGCATCATCATGGGAGTAACATACTGCCTGGAGCACATGAACCAGCTAGACCCTCCTGTCACCCCAAGAACCCTCAACTCCTCGTCCATCTACCTCACCGAGGACTATGCGGCCAAGTTCTCCGACACCGAGTTCTGGAAGGACGACGAAGCAGACGTGGCGCCGACGCGATCCGCAGGCCAGGACAGCATCGTCTACAAGTTCGGGATACTGCTGCTCGAGGTGATCTCCGGCCGGCTGCCCTTCTCCGAGGACCACGGCCTGCTTGTCCTCTGGGCCTCCAGCTATCTGGACGGCAAGCGGCCGATCGGATCGATGGCCGACCCGGTGCTCAGGGCGTCGTCGCCTGTGCCCGAAGAGGACCTGGCGGCGCTGTGTGATGTAGTGAGGCTGTGCATAAACCGCGAGGCGGCGAAGAGGCCGTGCATGGGCGAGGTCGCGGGGCTGATGAAAGGCGCCGTCAGACTGTCGCCGGAGCAGACGACCCCGAGGAACAACCCGCTGTGGTGGGCTGAGCTCGAGATTATGTCCACAGCATCCACCTGAAATGACATGCAAAGGGAAGGGTAATTATACTAGATTTTGCATTTTAGTTCCTTTTTCCATTACTTTTTTTGTATGATATGGTATACTCCTTTTGGCCCTGATTTGTTTTGTGTCCTCGGATCACTGTGAGCCTGCATATTTCTAAAAGTTGAAAGAAAGTACTTCCTCTGTAAACAAATATAAGACGTTTTAGGTCACTGTAAGCCTGCATATTTATACAAGTTGAAAGAAAGTATACTACTCTCTCTGTAAACAAATACAAGACATTTTAGGACGCTACAGAGGGAGTAGTAATTATCATTGTTGACATATTTGCATTTCTACTAGTTCTCATGTATCCCTTGGAAACCACACGATTAATACATGTAGCATACTTTTTGAACATACATAGACAGTGCTCCATATTCCAGTCAATCTTTGTTCTCCCCAGTCTCTGCCATTGAAAGAAATAATCGGCACTGTTTGTACACATCTTCTAGAATCTAATGTGCCACACATACAGAGGGGAATATGCCTTCTAGTTTTGTTCTTTGCAAAACCGCATCAAAATGATGCCTTATTGTACCCATCACATTCTTGTTGGATCTTGCTGCAGCTCAAAGAGATGGAAACAACTAAAAGCCTGAGGATCTAGCAATGAATGCAATGACTCAAAAGGTGACCATCATGCCAATGATATTTACCACCACTTAATCTGACAGACAATGCAAATAGAACATTGGTTAATCTCTTGAACAAATTATCATGAGCTCTGCTGTACACACACTTGTATGTACTCCTTCTATAAGAGCATTTAGATCACTATTTTAGTATTCTAAACGCTCTTATATTAGTTTACGGAGGGAGTACTTTGCTAATAGGCAACCAACTATGAATGGTATAAAGTTTTAGTACACGCATGAGGGTAATGCAGAAAACAAAGTATCACACCAATGATGTATTATTACAAACAGTCTCTAATCTAATCAAAAGGAAGAAACAACAATCTGGTAAATGAACATTCACGACCAGCAGGCAGGGATGGCAATGACAGTGTGCAGATAATCATTAGCTGTTCCTTCAGCTGTTGAGGACACCTTGGTTACTTGTTGCATAGTTGGACGGTGCGATGGATCAGGTTCTATGCACCGAACAGCGATCGCGATAACTTTAGATATGCCACTTACAATCTCTGCTTCAGGGAGTGGGAGCCGGGTGTCCAACAATTTCTCAAGTAATATACTTTTCTTGGCCATGGACAAAAGAAAATCACCTGGATGATGTCCCATAAACAACTCTAGAGCAAGTACTCCAAAACTATAAACATCACACTTCTCCGTCACCCTTGTTGTGTATGCAAGCTCTGAAACACCAACATTGGAGAGTTAATTTTGATATTTCTTCATACATGTGTGTTGATTTAAAAAAGCAAATGCTAATTTAGATGGCATAAACTAAAGAAAGGCATAACTTGGTGTTTAAAAGATATCATATGATTATTAACTTTTCTAACCAAAGTAAGGATGTAATATTACCTGGGGCCAGATATCCTTTTGTCCCGGCAAGCTTTGTGCAACTTGGCGCATCCATGTCTAGTATTTTGGCAATACCAAAATCAGAGATGCATGCTCTGAATTCAAGGTCAAGCAAAATGTTGCTGCTTGTTATATCTCTGTGGACCATCGGCGCAAAGCAATCATGATGCATGTAAGACAAAGCATGAGCAACGTCCGTAATTACATTTAACCTCTTCACCCAAACCATTTCAATTGCAGTTTCGTTGTTCTTCAAAGATGCTGCTAAGCTTCCTCTATGCATGTATTCATACACAAGAAATCTCCCCTGAGGAGCAGAACAATAGCCGTATAACTTCGCAATGTTGCGGTGCCGAATATGCATCAACGCTTCTACTTCACAATTAAATATCTCAGCATCTTCCATCATTTGAATCTTTTTTACAGCAAATATTTCCCCTGTTGGCAACTGAGTTCTGTACACTGATCCATTACCTCCAATTCCAATGCAGTGGGTGTCACTGAAATTTTCTGTGGCATCAACAATTTTCTTGTACACATCTTGTCCATCAAAGTCCCAGACGGCGAACAACTTTGTCTGGTGCAATTCATTTAGATCCTGTGCCATGGATTTCTTCCTTTTACATTGCAATGTTACTAGTGTCATGATGAACCCAAAAAATAAAATAGCTGGCATTATAGCAAGCAGAATAGCTTTGGACTTCATTTCCCGCCCACCACTCGGAGGAGGATCACAAGTGGGCAAACCTTTCACGGCACCACACAAATTCTTATTGGGGAAGAACCATTCAACTGAAGCTTCTCTAAAGAGCTTACTTTGTGGCACCGGCCCTTCTAGTTTATTGTATGATACGTCCATAGATAGGAGGCTGGTCATGCTCCCAAATGATGGTGGAATGCGGCCCTTCAGTGTATTATGTGAAAGATTCAAGGCTTCAAGCATGTTCAGACCACCCAACTGACTCGGAATAGAGTCGAGAAAAGAATTGTCACTTAGGTCCAACAACTCTTGTAGGTTTACCAACTTACCTAGTTCGATTGAAATGTTGCCACTGAGGTGATTATGGCTCAACTTCACATAGCGAAGCTTGGAGCAGTTCCCAATTGACCATTGTATCATCCCACTTAGGTTGTTCGATGATAAATCCAAATGCTCCAAACTTTTTAGGGCTCCAATTTCTTGTGGTATACTTCCCCAAAGCAAGTTATCACCAAGGCTCAGATAGAATAATGCAGACAGGTTGCCGATTTCTTGTGGGATTTGCCCTTCAAGTTTGTTTGATGAAACATCAAGTATCCCAAGCTGAGATAATTTCCCTATGCTTGGGGGTATGACTCCAGTTATAATATTGTTTGAGGCACGCATCATTGTAAGTTTGTAGCACTCACCCCACCGATGAGATAATTGCCCGTATAGTTTATTAGAACTGATGTCAATATATACAAGATTTGAAAGATGTCCCATGTCAGAGATATCTCCATTGAGCTGATTTCGTTCAAGACGAATTCTGACTAGACTTTTGCAGTTAAGCAAGCTTCTTGGCACAGGTCCAGTTAAATTGTTGTCAACAACGGTGAAATTCTGCAGTCGGCCTCCCGAACAAAGATTCGATGGCAAGGCACCAGTGAGGTTGTTAAAGCCGAGTAGAAAGTAAACCAGATTTCTCAATTTGCTAACTTCTTGAGGAATGGATCCAGAAAGTTGGTTCATATAAAGGCCTAAGGAGGTGAGCTTAGTCAAATTCCCTAAACTGTTTGGGATGGGGCCTGTTAGTGTGTTGTTCCCAAGATCCAAGTCCTCTAAGTTGACCAAATAGCCCAGTTCTTGAGGAATGTGTCCAGAGATTTGGTTGTTGCAAAGATAGAATGTAGTGATTTTTGTCAAATTCCCCAAGCTATTTGGGATCGAACCTATTAGTGTGTTTCTGTGAAGCTTGAATTCCTTCAGCTTGATCAAAAATCCTAGTTCTTGAGGAATGTGGCAAAAAAGTGTGTTCCTGTGAAGATGCAAAGTAGTGAGTTTAGTCAGATTCCCTAAGGTCTTTGGGATAGGGCCTGTAAGTGTGTTGTTCCTAAGAACCAATTTCTCCAAGTGGACCAAAGAACTTAGTTGTTGAGGAATGTGTCCAGAGAGTTGGCTACTATCGATGTACAAGGCAGAGAGCTTTGTCAAATTCCCAAAGCTAATCGGGATGGAGCCTGTGAGCGGGTTGTGGCTAAGCTCCAAGTGCTCTAAGTTGAACAAATAACCCAGTTCTCCCGGAATATGTCCAGAAAGTTGGTTTCCTGGGAGGCGCAAGCTAATTAGTTCAGTCAGATTCCCTAAGCTGCTTGGGATTGAACCTGACAGGTTATTGTTGGAGAAATCTAATGTAGCCAAGTGCGGTAGGCGTCCTACTTGATGAGGGATATGACCAACCAGACGATTGCCTGACAGGTTTAGACCCACAAGATTATCCAGCTCGCCTATCTGACTCGGTATTTCGCCGGAGATTTGGTTGTCATGGAGCATTAGGAAATGCAATCTTGTGAGGCTTCCCAGAGAAGGTGGAATGTAGCCTCTTATCCGATTGCCGTGCAGGAGCAGCGCATGGAGCTCCTTGAGGACCTCCACGCTGGAGGGAATGCTCCCGTGCAGCCGGTTGCGCGAGAGGTCCAGGGCCCGCAAGGTGCTCAGGGCGGAGAAGTCGAGGGGCTCCAGCGTCCCTCGCAGCCGCGTCCCACGCAAGGAGACGCTGGTGACCACTGGCTCTGGCTGGTGCCCGGAAGTTGCCCGTGCGCCACACCGGATGCCGCGCCAACTGCAAGGCGCCGACGTGTTTCTCCAGGACCGCAGACCGACTTGGCTTTGGTTGTGGAGGCTGGCTTTCCAGGCCAGGAGCGCCGCTGCTTGTTTTTCCAGCGAAGGCGGCGGCCCGGCGGCCGAGACAAGCGCGGGTGTGGCGGCCATCATCAGTACGGTGAGGCAGGCAAGCCTTCTGGCAAAAGAGGGCCGCTCCATGGCTATAGGCTTGGAATTCGCTTTGGGGTGTGTGTGCCTCCATGAGAGCTCATGACAGCACCTTAAGTAGTCGCTCGCACCTCCGCGGTTGTCTCCTTCTGTATGTTTTGTTCGTTTGTTTTGCGAATGGTCTCCTTCTGTATGTACTCCTTTCGTCTCAAAATAAGGGCTTGTTTGGTTCCAATAAGTCATCTGACTTATAAGTTAGGTGATTTAAAACCAGTGACTTATAAGTCACGCCCGTTTGGTTGTCACCTGACTTATAAGTCACCTGATACACCTACCCACACCAATCAACATCATGCAGATGGTAGGACCCACGCAAAAGGGGATGACTTATAAGTTTTAAGTTGGGGTGGAGCAACTTATGACTTATAAGTTGGGGGTGACTTATAAGTCGGGTCTGTTTGGCAAAATAAGTCACTTTTTTCACTTTTCGACTTATAAGTTGGTGACTTATTTGGAACCAAACAGGGCCTAAGTGTTTAACTAAGTTTGAGACACTTATTTTAAGACGGAGTGATATGTTATAACCGAGTCCACGGTATACATCTGAATCAAAGAAAGAAAGAAAGAAAGAGAGAACTTATTGTGGCCATGGAACTATCTGCATTACTGTGCGAGAGTTACGGTCAGCTTCAGCGGTCAAGTGAAGCTAGCGTACGGAATACATGGAAAATGCATGAGTAGGTTCGTTTTGGATGCATGTAGAATTTGCGGTCTGGGCGTTCAAACTTGAACGTGTCCAGGTCTGATGTACTAGTGTCTGACACGGGCACACGGCAACGCTGAAACAAGTACTCGCTCCGTTTCAAAATATAGTATTTTTTCTATTTCCATGCTTCAACTTTAATCATAAATTTAATCATCGAGACCGATTACGGTGGAAGCAAAAGTTATATCAGTGAGTTTGTATTTAAAAGAAGTTTTCAATTATATAATTTTGGGACAATGATATTTGGCACACGTGTGCTAGATTGCTAAAAGTGTCACACCACTCTTCTTCCATCGATCCCACCTCCTCCCGAGCGACCGCCCTCCTCTCACACTCGTCTGTAGTTTTAAATAGGCAAAAAGAAAGGCATTGAAGGGGAATCAAACCCAGACCCTCCCACACGAAACTAAGCTGCAACATCCAGTTGCGCTAGCCCACTTAACTGATTACATACAACTTACATACTAATTGTATCTTCCTGTGACGAGAATAAACAAAACAAGCAGTGATTAGTAACTGAAAATTCAAACCGGCAGCCTCACTTCTACGGGTTTTGGAACAATGCCCCCCCCCTCCGGTCATTGTTACCATGGTGTTTGTACGTAAGTACTCAAATCTGCGGTGAGTAAATTATCACGTTATTTAGGCAGAAGTTATCCCGTGTTCATAAAAAAATCACTTGGGCAAATTTACTATGGTGTTTCGTACCAAAGTTACCATGTTTGCGGTGTGTAAATCATCATGCTAGGTACATAGAATGTATTGTGTCTACGTTTTCAACATTTTTTCAACCCCAGATTAGAAAGTTACCATGATGTTCATACACAAGTTATCAGATCTGCATGAGTAAACTATCATACTATTTACACAAAGGTTATCAGGGATATGTTTTTATCAACTTTTTCCTGGGTCGAAAATTACCGTGGTGTTTGTACGAATATTATCACGATCGTGGTCTGTATATTACTGTGTTATTTATACACAATTTATCGTTGTATGTTTCAACACCTTTTTCTCTGAGTCAAAAGTTAACACGGTGTTTGTGCATGACTTATCAAGTTTGCGGTGCGTGAATTACCGTTATATTTACATAGAATTAATGGGGATTATTTTCTCAATAATTTTTCACCTAGTCAAACTTTTTCCTTATTTGGTCAATGTTACCGAGGTATTTACATCCAGGTTATCAAATATGCAGTTTGTATATTACCATACTATTTACAATTTATCTAGGGTATGTTTTTGAACAACTCTTTCCCCTGATCAAAGTTACCGAGGTGTGTATGTAAGTTATTATTAGGTCTACGGTTCATATATTATCATGCTACTTACACTGAAGTTACCGGAGGTATGTTTTAACAAACTTGTTTCTCCGGAGACGAAAAGTTACCGCGGTGTTTGTACATAAGTTATCACGTCTGTTGTCTGCACATTACCATGCTAGTTGCACTGAAGTTACCAGAGGGTATGTTTTTCAACAACTTCTTTCTTCGGGGTTAAAAAGTTATCGTGGTGTTTGTACATAAATTATCACTTCAGTTGTGTGCATATTACCATGCTATTTGCACAGAAGTTAATGGGGTGTATGTTTTCCAACAACTTTTCTCCCGAATCAAAGAAGTTACCGTGATATTTAGACGTAGGTTACCATGTTATTTACACAAACGTTATCGGGAGTACGTTTTAAACAAAAAAAATCTAGCTCAAACTATCACTGTGTTTGTATGTAAGTTATCAGGTTTCCGTGTATATATTACCGTGTTATTAACACGAGATTTACTGGGATAAATAGTTCAGAGAAAAAAATGCTTTAGAACTAGCAATATCCTAAACAATGTGCAACAAAAGAGATGGAAGTTCAAAATAAAATGTCGTTGCGTTCTTGTTCTCTGTCGGCAGTAGCAAAAAATCCACAATCTAAAACAAATGTAGGCCTACATGGAACATCAAGACGTGCCAGAGTGTCCCAGCTTGAGTACCTGCTTCATGGGAGATAGGTTCAAATGAGGTTCAGAAGAATGTTGAGATTCTGATGCAAGAAAAAAAAAGCAGTTCTAAGCAGGGTAGTAGCTTTTTTGCATCAACGGTGAAGTGCATAAGTAGGCAATGTCCAAAATTCACATGAGAGAGAGTAAGAGAGATGGTGATGGATATAGAGCAGCAGCCTACATCGTTTGACGAGGACGTCCACATCAACATGCGTCTGTCAGCGGCACTTGAACTTTTATCCCGATTTTCCTTCTGAAACTGCAACCTACTAGTACAAGCCAGCAGTGCTCTTCTTCTCTGCCGATGAGGGGCAGACCCTGGTTGATGTCTCCCAGTTGACATGTCCAAAAAACAATCCAGTAGCAGGTGTGTGTAGTGTTGGAACGAACCACCCGATGGACCGGAGTGAATGCAGATCGAGCGACCAAATTTAGTTGGTGTGGAACCTACAACTAGGCTGACAAACCAGTAGTACACGTATGTGCGTGTTGTGATATGAAAACATCCTCCCAGAGATTGAGACAGGTCGAGCTCAAACATGTCAACCGAGAAGAAGCATGTTTCAGTTCATAGGATGAGCTCAACCCTCTCTCAATTAACATGTTAAACACAGGGGAAAATCCAGGGCGACGATGCAGAGGCCGAGCTCCCTGAGGTTGGGAAGGTGGCGGAGCACGGGATGGCGACTATGTTCGGGAGCGTCCAGGCGCTGAGGAAGAAGTGGGTGAGGCGCGTAGCAGAAGAGCATGATCGTCAGGGCATGTTGGAGAACAAGAGAGGGCGGCGATGGGAGTCTTCGTTGGAGAAGCACTTGGGCAGGCTGTGTTGGTGAAGAGTGGAGGCTGTGCACGCCTGCGCAGTCGCCGGAGTTGAGGAACCGGGTGGGACGGGGCTGGAAGCTCTGCCGACGGCGTCAGCCCCTGGGCATCCACTTCCTAGGAGCAAGCGATGCTGGTGCGGGGGTCGGCGCGAGGCAGGCGGTGGCGGTGTGCAGTGGTGTGATGATGGTGGCCGATAGAGAGCCGGCGGCGCGCGTGAGGTAGTGCAGCGGCGGCGCGAGGTATATGATGTAAGGTCGGGAGGTTGAGGAAGGGCCCCACTTTTCTCAGGTGCGGGGACGACCCCGTCCTGCGGGACGAGGATGCGAACGAGCTTCACCAGACGAAGAAAAAAGGTGCCGTGCGATGCGGATCGAACGCCGAAGGAACCGTGTGGCAGTTTTGCAATCGGACACAGAGTTGCCAAATACATATTTCGTATAATTTTTCTCCCGTCACAGTCAGTCTTGTTGGTTAAATTTATGGTCAAAATTGAATTTCGGAATGCGCGGGCGCAATATATTTTGAAATGGAGAAAGTAATAACTTCGAAAGAAGTACGTATATGTGCGCAAAGCTAATCTAAGCATCACACAATATGTGTCGCTGTACGTTTTCAGTAGAGAAAATTGATTTCACTGTAACCTAACTAAATATTTAGAGAAGTACTTCCTCCGTGAACTAACCGCTCTTATATTAGTTTACAGAGAAAGTACCGTTGGTCAAAGAAATTTTACTAAAAACCTCACAATTTTTTTCATGAGTTTTTCCTTTTCTTTTATCAGTTCAAGGGAAAAATTGTGTGATTTAACTAGTCAAACTCAAGATTGTGAAGTAAACTGGAACAAAGTGATTTCACTTTTCGACAAATGGTGAATTTTATTGACTCAAAATGAAGTATTAAGCGGATATAAACACAATGAGCACACACCCGGCCTCTGCATAGTTAGAATAGGCATAACCAACACTAACATATACACACGCGCAAGAGCATGTCGGCGAATAGCAAAGCCATATAAAACCAAAGTCATGCCTAAGCGAAGAAATAAAAAAAGCAAGGATAAACTACAAATATGATCATATCCGCACCAACCATCTCATGACACTACAAAGACAACGAGATTCTTTAACAACAATGTCTTTACAAAGGGAGCGACGCTCAAGCACAACCATCATCAGATCTAACCACCAAAGGCCAGATTCTAGATTTTTCGGTCCTAGCATAACACAATATGAACATAACAGAGTGATTTAACCTAACTATATCTTTGGAGAAGTATTTCTTATCAAAGACGATGAGTTTATTTTCTTGTGGGTCTTCAACTAGTCAGGATTGTCAATTAAACTGAAATAGGTTGAGTATTTTGGTTTACTAAAAAAGTCTTTCGCCCCGCTTTATATATAAAGCAACGACCATCAGACAACCAGACCAAGCGATACAAAGGCACGCCAACACCACACTTCACGCACACACCCAAG